CAGTTACTCACAGTAGAATCACTGTGTCAGCACGGTTTCGAAGACCACTCCAGGAGCCCTATACTATTTTGTAAGTAAAATTTTCAGTTAGTGAACTGGCATTTAGGGGTGGTGGGGTGGTGGTATCTCAACTTTTTTTTCTTTAGTTTTGTTTGAAATGCTCCTCCAGATTATTTTACTTTGCTTTATTTCAGCCTGATTGCTAACGGGGACCTTATTAGCCCTGTAGTGCGCCTCCTCATTCCCAGGAAAACACTGAATCACTGGGATCATATTCTTGAAATGGTTACAGGAAAAGTTACCCTCAGAAGTGGAGCTGTTCACAGGTATCAGAAAGCTGAATATTTGCAAGACACATTTGATATGTGTAGATATGTTTTTAAAACTCCATGGGTAGATATAATGGATCCTTCCTGCTTCATGGGAAATTCCACTGTCAGAAAATTAACATACATCAAAGAGCCACAAAATGGAAATATGTTGACTCCAAGTAGACTTCAGGTTTCATTTCAATTGCTAGTTAAAAAAAGAAAAACCTCAATTTGTTTCAGCTGTTATTTCTTGATTAAATATTTAGTTAACAGGCATGTAATGATACAATAATAATGCAATATGCTTAGTATTAATAATTAAGTTACATGTCAGAATGAAATAAATGGACATGGTAAAGCTGGTGAAGGTGTTTGGAATGTGGAATAATAGATGCAATCCATGTTACCTTTTAATTTTGATAGTTCTTTAAATTCATGGGGGCAAACAATTTCAAGGAAAATATTATAGGTTCTTTGGTGTTTGAAGACCTGTGCTATGACTAAGATGCACTTTATGCTCAGCCTAAAAAGAGCCAAGGCCAAAGTTGTAGTTGGGAGTTTGCCAGTTCCAGTATCTCAGCTGGTCTGAGTAGTTGTGGTATCTCAGGAATAGGAGGTGACCGCTTGGATGGGTAAGTTTCAGTCCCTTAAGGATTTTACAACATAAAATAAGCGCTCTCAAATAATATTTGGTAGTTGTTGCAGGTTTTAGAGTAAAATGATATATGCAGTTTCCATGAGAAACATTGCAGCGTAAGCGGGCTGCTGAGGTGTGTACAGGGAAATTACTGACATTCCAGTGTTGCCCCCTGCAGAGCACATTACAGAAATCCGTTCCTCAGATGGGAAAGGGCCTTTTGTGGAAAATCATTCTTCACAGCTTACGCAATGCCTGAGGCTAAGCTTGCAAAATCTTTCTGAAATCAGTGAAGATAAGGTAGTCTTTCAGTTCTGATTGCTTTCCCAGAGCTGATACAGATGATAAAAGATTGAGGTAATGCTATCTGTTGACTATTAACTCTCATCTAATTTTTCATCCCAGCCCTGCATTTCTTTGCTTCTATTATCTGGCTACTTAGCACTTTTACTTGCAGTGTTGCAGCTTTCTGGATCTGATTCTCAGCTAGTGTAACTCAGAAGTGAGCAAAATAACAGCTGTTTACAACATACCAATTCTTTCTGCTCTGAGGTTGTTTAGCAATTTAAAAATCTTTCACATTTTATTCTCATTTCTTGGTGTCACTCCTTGGTGAAACTGAGTGATGTACATGAAAGCATAAATCATTCTGTACACAGTTAGGATTGCTTTTGGGAAGTTCTTTTCAGTGCTCAGTTTTAATCCTTTAAAAAAATAAGATAATGTACATGACATTTTGAATTATTTAATGTTTTTCTGGTTTTCTATTAACCTAGTTTTCATTTTCTTTTCCTTAAAATGCTAGGAAAACATATTAAATACATTAGTAAAGTGATCATTGTTCTTTAATAAGTTACACATTAATTGCTGGGGTTTACCGAAACTATGTTAGCATTAGGGGAGGTCCTGTAAGACCACTGATGCTGGGAAGATATAATTTCTCATTAAAGAACAATATGTGGAATTACGAGACCCTGCATTATGTATATGGCATTTTTCTTTTCCATGTTATTAAAAGAAGTACAAAGCTGCCAAGTCTTACGCAGTTTCACATGTGGCTTGTTAAAAAAAAGATTATTGATCATCCCCATCAGAATAGGGATGTAAGTAAGAAACATGAGAGAGGAGACAATGAGAAAGTAGCTTTTCTGCTTGCCAGATTGTCCATGGGGATATGGGGTACAGCAACTTGATGGGCAGGTACCTGGTGCATTGGCAACTGGGAATTTGGGGATATTGGTCCTGCAGGTTGTGTCTTTGCTGTCTCCTTTGTCAGCCTGCATGCTTGCTTTGCTTTTGCTGCCACTTTTTGGCTTGGATTCAGGAAGGAAAATGGATGTCCACTGTCATCCCACAATACAAGCCCTAAATCATCCCACAGTGACCGGAAGAAGTGACCACAAGGACGTCTTTGTTGCACAATACTAGCCTGAGAGAACCCAGCTGGTCTGTGAATGGTTGTGGCCAGGCGGGTGGGTAGAAGGCTTCAGAAGTGTCACAAAAATTTTGTGATGCTTGTTAAGTCAATAGTTAGTTATTTGTTTGAAGTTCCATTTTTTTAAATGCATTTTTAATTTCAATTTTGTCTTCAGTGAGTGATTATGTTTGATTTGGGTATTGTGATTAATTTTTCAGGGTGAAAAATACAACTAGAGATTGCCAGATAATCCATAATGTTTTGGGGAATTATGTTAAACAAACAACTTTTGTGCATTAAATATAACATTAAAACATAACCAAAGTGAAAGATCGGGAACAAAAACCCACAGTCATATTTGTATGTACCTCTACATACCTGTAGCACCATACAAATACATAAAACAGTTCTTAGACTGTGGTACACTGATTTTCTGTTTTTTTCCCCAAGTTCCCCAAAGCAAAATGTAATCTAGCAAAACACAATGAGATTAATTCAAAAATAGGCTTCTTGCTGATTTTTAGATTGCCTAGTTTATTTTCATGGTTGGTGTGTAACTGATGTTGTCTGCATGGTAGTGAAACATAAATTGCTTTTTGAATTGCTGGCATGCCTGTGAAATGTTTGCACTAAAAAGTAAATATGAGTAATACAAAGGGGATGCTTCAGAGTTAGCATACCCCTTCGCAAAGAAGCAGCAATGTGATCAAGATTCTTAAAAGCTGCAATTTCACCTTTGAGAAGTTTCAGTCTCTGCACTTAGAAAACCAAGGTACTTCTACATGCCAGGAGGTACCTAGAAAATCAAGGTACTTTCATGAGGGGAATATAAGAAAGACACGGACATGCTGGAGCAAGTGCAGCAAAGGGCCACAAAGATGCAGGGCTTGAAGATACCTGTCCTGTGAGGAGGGCTGGAAGAGCTGAGACTCTGCAGCCTGGGGAAGAGAAAGCTCAGGGGGATCTTGTTAATGTGTATAAATGCCTGGTGGGAACAAGTGAAGAAGTCGGAACCAGGCTCTTCTCAGCAATGCCCAGTAACAGGACAAGAGGCAGTGGGCACAAACTGAAATACAGGAAATCCCACTTGAACAGAAGAAAAAAAAAAATTTTTTTACCATAAGGGTCATCAAACCTTGGAACAGGTTGCCCAGAGAGGTTGTGGAGTCTCCATCCTTGCAATTGTTCAAAACACACCTGGACACAGCCCAGAGCAACCTACTGTAGCTGCTCTTGCTCTGCATGAGGTGGTTGGACTAGGCGGTCTCCAGAGATTGTGTCCAACCTCAGCTATTCAGTGACTCCTGGTTCTATAAGCTGCGTCTTTTTGTGTGTGTTATTTTTTTTTCTCTCTGATTTTCAGCCTTCCAGTACCTAAAGGGACCTACAAGAAAGCTAGGGAAGGACTTTTTACAAGGGCATGGAGTGACAGGACAAGGGGCAATGGCTTTAAACTGGAAGAGGGAAGATTTAGATGAGATATTAGGAAGAAATTCTTCACTGTGAGGGTGGTGAGGCAGTGGCACAGGTTGCCCAGAGAAGCTGTGGCTGCCCCATCCCTGGAAGTGTTCAAGACCAGGTTGGATGGGGCTTTGAGCAACCTGGTCTGGTGGAAGGTGTCCCTGCCCATGGCAGGGTGATTGGAACCAGATGATCTTTAAGGTCCCTTCCAAACAAACCATTCTATGATTCTGTGATTCTGTGATTCAAGGTTGTGCCACTGTGTGAATGAATTTAGGCAGCTTTTTCTCTATTAAACTGAAAATTTTTGCACTTTGTAAGTCGGGGTTTTATCAAGGCAGGCTCTTGATATTCTTCCCAAAAGGTGTATAGGTGTATATATCAATATATCACCCTGCATTGTGTTGAAATTTATGAATAACATATAGGAGCTCCTGTAGAAGGCTTCTAGAAAGGCAATTAAGATAGCCATTCAACATTCCTGCATTTAAGACTTAAATGCAAAACTGTTAATGTTGACTTTTAATGAAATATAAATATTGTTGAGTTTTGGAATATGCTTCATAGGAAAGAGCTTGTTTATTATTGAATGTTTCCTCCTTCCTTGTTGTTTTGACCATCCTTAAATAAAATCACAAACTTGACAATGATGTAATTGGGATAGCATAGAAATAAAGTGTTGACTGCCCCTCTGTCTGCTTCACCAGTTCTTAATGCATTTCTTCCTTCTCGGTAAAGTGTACAAACAGAAATTATTGTGGTAAAAATCTACCTGGTGTAATAGATATGTTAATTATTGGTATTACAGGTGCCTAAGATACACATCTTCTTGTTATAATGTATTATTGTACTTCTTGCTACTCCCAGCCTTACCTCACCAGGTACAGCCATGTTCCAACCTTCCGATCTATACAATATAAGTGTAATATTATCAACTTAGTCCACTTTAGGTGGACAGGTCCTGCATTTTCAGTCGTGGGGCCACGAATGTCCTGTTCTTCCCAGGTTACTACATAATGCCCAGAGCACAGATGGGAGGTGGGACTTGGTATGAGAGGGTTCAGGAACTCATGAAATAGATCCCTTCCAAGGTATCAGGGGAAAGGCATTAAAGACCTTCTAAGTACAAATCCATTTATTTAATTTTAGAAATTATGAGAGCATTTCATCTGTCATAGCGCTTCATACTTCATTACTTTTATATAAACTATGATTTAGGTCAGTATTTTGCTCTGTCTTTCCTTGTCTTTCGTTTTTTGTGTAGCAACTGATCATCGTGTGGCATCCACTGTACTTTATTGGGTTTTGTATCTGGAAATTCAACATGATTTAGTGAGTTTAGATTAACGTAGCTTTCAATGCTTTTAATACACCTAACTGGAAACATTGTTAAGGTTTATTATATTAAACATTTTCATATTTTTCAGACTTTACACTTTGGATGGAAAACTTGTTCAGAATGGGTCAGACTTGGAGAATGGGCAAATTTATGTTGCAGTGGGTAGAGAAAAGTTTAAGAAGTTGCCATATGGTGATCTGCTGTTTAGCAAATCTACGACGAGAAGGCCACAAGGGTAAGTTATATAGCTGTGTGATATACTTCTCATGTGCTTGAATGTGTCAATTTGTTTTTAAAGTACCACCGGTAAAGTACAAAATCGTCATTCCAAGAATGAGGGAGGCAAGGATGGGTTAGTATGGATGCAAAACTTTATTGACAATTTCTGAGAAAGTGGAGGTAACAAAAACAAAAGAGAAAATGGAAATTCAGAAGACTATTTCACCTCATAAACATGCCATTGGTCATGTATCACAAAAATAGTATCAGAGAAAGGATTATTTTGACTTGGCTTAATTTGTTTTTTTCCTGGCATACAAATGTGTGCAGCTGAATGAGATTAGGTGCAGCTACACCAGTCTAGATCTACTCTTGCTTGGTAATGTTTTGTGGAACATGTACTCCCTTAAGCATGCTTGTAGGCTACAATTATCACATAGTAGAGTCCTAACCCGGGTGTCTGTAAGGAGAAACTTGGGCTTTTAGAGTCCTAACCCGGGTGTCTGTAAGGAGAAACTTGGGCTTTTAGTATCTGTGGAAAACATAAAAATTGGGAGCCATTTCATTGAAATGAATAGAAAGAAATGGAAATTTGTCCCACGAATTGGTGTAATTTAGAGAATTTGTCCCATATTCTGCATATAAACTGAGGTGTCATTTATATTTTTTTTTAGTAAGCAACTGTATACAACGTGAATAACTTGGAAATGTTTTGGGAAACAGCATTTACAACAAATTAATTTAATGACAATGAAAAGCTATCTTGATTGATTGATGTAAACAGACTTTTGTTGAAAGTGCTGGAACTTTTCATTATAATAGTTGTAAGGATCTTTCACATAGTAATTCACTGAATACTGCTCTGCAAATTTTCGGTATATAAAGTATGCGCTGTGGGGAAATGTAATGCATTTGTTTGAATAAGTTAATGATTATGCGTTTAAATATACTCTACTGAACAGTAATAAGTGATTCTTAGTAAAAACGCAGGATAAATAAAACAATAAAACAGTAAAACTCTGCTGCCATAGCTGACTTGGTGTTATCTGGCTTGGTTATAGATACGTAGTGTCTATGATAGTGACAGTGTACACAATTCTAAGCTATGGTTTATTTTTGCAGTTCCAAAGCCTCTGTACTACCTCCGATTGTGGGATCTCGAAAGTCTAAAGGCAGTGTAAGTATCAAGTGCCATAAGAAAGTTTGTTTCTAATTTTGCTTAATTCCAGCAGATGGAAAGTTTCTGTCCTTTGGGTTTTAATTAAATCTGAAGAGAAAAAATCCACAGCCACCTGGTGGTATGCTTATTAAAACTTAACGAATCTGTAGCTATTTGCAGTGTCAATTAGACAAAAGAAATCTGAGAAAGTATTATTGCAATAATGACTGCTTTATTTTTTATAAAACCTTCCATAGCAAAGATCAACTACTGCCTTGGGGTCTTTCCCATAAACCTTGTCAGCTGTCTTTGTGTACTTGTTTATTTATTTATTTCTTCAGATTATACACCTAAAGGAAAAACACAGAACCTTTTACAAAACATTTTGCAGAAAATGGTGTTTCTGCATGCTGAGTATGAATAACGCCTAAAACAGTTTCCTATCTGATGTGTTTTGTCCTAACTAACCATTAAATACAGAGCTTGACCCTCCACTGCTTTGTATCCTGTATAGCCATTTATATGTGTACAAAATGAGTCCGCTGTGGATTTAAAACAGTGCCAAATCAGAATTTAAGTATCTGTTTGCACCGATTCTGTACAAGTGCAGTTTACTGTACAAGTACAAGACAGCCGAGAGTCAGACTCACAGTCTATCATTATAATTGCGGTAGTTGATCATGTCCATTCACTGTTTACAAAACAAAAAACCCTGGAGACACTAAACAAAATAAGCAATAAAATATACAAGTCTCTGTTCCATTCTGTTGATATTCAGTAGAGGATAAAACCTCAGTAAAGAACATACTTTTAAGTGGTGTTTGTTTTTAAAATGTGAGCTTTGCAATTCTAGCATTTGTAAAAATAACTGCTTACCTCTTCTACTATTACTTAACAACATGTACAGAAAATTATTTGATATTTGCCTTTATTCCATTAGGATTGTAACGCATACCAAGTGTCAAAACTGAAGGAGGCAGGAATATGTACTACTGCTCTTAGATATCTAATGCAACACTTGAACTTGTATAAATCATGCAATTGTTTGCTTCAATTTGATATCTACACTTTTTTACTGTTATTACTCGGGACTAACAGTCTCCAGTTTGAATTAGAAGAGAATGAAATATTGCTGTACCCTCATTTCTCTTTACAGAGAAAGGATAAGTGGTGGATTTGATGGTATTGGTAGATAAATGATAGATGGTAAAAGCTAGATGGTATTTAACAAAGATATTTAAACAGAACTGATTTCTACTGATTATGTGAAAATTAGAAGAATCACATTAAAATGTAATAACGTATGCAGGATTTTTGAAGAGGTGTGGAATTTTTTTCAGGACTTATTTTTCTGAAAGATTTTAATTTTATATATTATTACCTTTTAACTTTAGCAGTAAGGTGAAAAGAATTGTCCATGACCATTGCAGAATGAAAGGGCTTTCTGGTGGGCAAATTCTCAAATAGCATGAATTATTCATGCAACTACACTAAGTGAAACAATGAAGTAGAATATATTCCTCTTCTGTGATTCAGCTAAGTCTGGGATAAGGTGAACAGTTCCAGATATGAATAAGATTTTCTGCCCTTTCTGCATGAGTGTTTTGTTGTTATATGGAGTGTTTTGACAGAACTGGATTAGGAAGAAACTACAACTGCTGCTAGACTAGCAAAAGTAGAAGGCTGACAGCCACTAACGAGAGGCAACGATGAGGGTGTTCAGCTGGTAAAGTCTTTACGCAGTCTAGAACGATATAAACAGCAGCCTAAAGGTTTGCTATATACAGTTCAGGTTTTTATGATGTTGATTGTGAATAGATTTAGATTGAAGAAAAATGTGTATAAATAATAAAATCTCTGGCTAGTACACCCGGGGTTGTACGTACATCAAAGCTGTAAAAATAAGGACCGGGTTTCTGGTTCTGTTTCTAGATACACCACAGAGCAAGCAGAGGAACTGTCTGATGTCCTTGGAGGTGATTCAGAGGTGATCTGTGGGCAGACCTCTTTCTTAGCATCCACTTGGCAGTCAGTGTTACTGCCACGAGAAGACTGTCGTCCTTTTCCACCTGCTTTTGACACTTAGATTAATGCCCATGTCTCATTTACACAGGCAATGAATTATTCACAAGTTATGTTGCATCTTGTGACTTGCCACGCATATGCATGGATGAGATATAGCTGTATATCATATGCATGCACATATAGATTCACCTAGCCACTCTTTTCATCAAATGAAGCATTATTTCCTTGTAATAAATGTTATTTTCTTCTGGGAATTGTTGAGGAGCTTTTAATCAGTCGGATCATATAGTAAGTTGATGAAATAGTTACGGCTTTCTGGATAGTTTAAGATATCACTTAGCCATACTGATTGTAAATTAATATGCTTCTTTAACACCTCATACCAATCCTTAGTATTAAAAGGTTGAAATAATATTGAAATTAAAAAAATAAACTTTATCATTTGCATCAATGATAATTGCGTACACTTCTTCTCAGGGAAATGACCGGCAATCTAAATCTACCCTTGGATCCAGTGACCCAGGAGAAAACAGTTCCTCACCTCAGCTTCTCAAAGGGAAAGACAAAAAAAGCCAGAATCCAGAGGATGCTGTGTCCAGACGACACTTTTCTAACAACTCTACAAAAGTAAAACAGACAGTTAGAGTAACAGCTTCCACAGGAATCCTTCAAGATAATGGTCAGTGCTGAGATAAACACTATCATAGCATTTGATCTTAAGTTAAAACAGTGAAATAGTGGAATAATATGCTTGTATAGTTCTCAAATTGTCCGTTTACTCTGGCTAACTGAATTTACAAAAGTTCCTTCTGCTTAGGAAATGTACCTATGCATAACCGCTACATTCCTGGCTTCATTTACATACCACAGGAGGCTGTATATGATTTTTAGTATACCTTGGAAGTTAAACTAATATGGCCCTATCTTTACGCTTTTGATAAAAGCGTAATAGAAAACATATTTTGACCATTTTCCCACTGTTCTGCCCTGCAAAAAAAAATGAAGAAAAGGAGCTGGTGTGCTCAAAGGACACCTTGCTGTCCCTGAGGATCCCTGGTTAGCTGCCTGGTTCTGTATAACAAAATGACTAGACCCTGGGAGAAAAACACAAACACAAACTCCAGTTAGCTGATAACTGCTGAGACTAATCATACAGCAGAGCTGCTGGAGGCATTTTCAGAATTTCTCCCATGCTGTGCTATGGCAGCAATTTAGAAATTTAGTCGTAAACATCCTCTTTGAGAAATTGTTTTTCTTACCTTATGATGTGGTATTCCCCCTTCCCCCCACTTTTTTTTTTTTTTATGGCTAGAAGACTGTCCCCTCACTACAGATATTGGTGCCATGCTGGGTTGGCTATTTTTCCTCATTAGTAATAGTTCCAAATGCCATTAATGCAGGCCAATTAATATCTGCCAGGAGAGAATAAATTATACTTTTCGTAGCATTTGACATTTCTTCTCACTGCTGTTTAAGTGTTACTAATTAAGTGTGCAATAACAAATTGTGGTCTGAAACTGCTGTATATGTCATCCAACAGCACAGTTTTGTACCTCTGTCTAGAATCATGAGTTGTAAATTTACTTTGAGTCAGGAGCAGGTTTGTAAATTTTAATTTTAAAAGATCAATTAAATATAATCTTTTGTAATATAATTGTCTTTGCAAGAGGTAGCCTGTTGAGTTTCAGGTTTATTTTAGTCTTGATTCAAACACCATTCCATCCTTTTGCTGGTAAGTGGACATAATTTTAGCCAAGTCTTTCGATCGCATTTTTTCTCTTATTGAAGAATGATGATTATATTATAATGAAAGTGACTGGAAACATTTGTCCTTTATATCTCATGAAATGACCGAATATATTCTTCTTGAAATCATCGTGGCATATCCCCACTTTTTACCGATTGAGTGCTGCACTCTAAAAACGTATGAGACTACCAGAGCTGACCTCTCAGAGGTGGCCTTGCATGCTTGGTTTACCATTTTTAAAGGCTCAGAATCATTATGTAAGAAACAAAGAATGCAGCGAAAGGCTTTTACATTTAGGCTGTTGTCCACCCTGGATATCTTCAATCGTTGATATGTTTTGGGTTTTTTTTGAAACAGATGGATTGACTTCTGTTGGGAAATTCTTTATATAGACCTCAGAATACACATGTTCTGATCTAGCCTCGTGTTCAGAGTACTGAACTGCTCTAAACCTCTATGTATGACCAAACAGATCTCAGTCAGAGCTACTACATTAAGAACAGCCAAGCCACATAACTTTTTCTGATAGTTATAGTGCCATTATGGTGATTTTCTATATGCTATTTTTTCTGGCCTGAGGATTTTTGTAAGTTCCTACAGATGTTTCCTGGAAGCAAACAGACCCCTCTTGGCAAGGTGAGAGAAATTTGTTCTTTGCCTTTGTCAGCCTTGCATTGGGTTATTGGAGGTTTCCGATTGCTTGCTTTCATTTCCCAGTGAAAGGAAGAGTACTAGAAGCAGCAATAGTTTCTCTGTCCATTCAGCGGGCGGTGACTAAGAGACAAATCTTACTTTGGTAGATAGCAGACAAATACAGGGAGATATTTACTTCTCCATATTTAGCACTATTTCTGCTCCACCAACTGACAGAAATGGTTGGAAATCCACTAAGTTTATTGAAGAAGTGGCTTCTTGCTTCTCGCTTCAGCTTTTCCAAGCTTTGTGAGTCTTGCGTGACTGGGAGAAGCTATTTGAGGCAGCCAATTCTCTGGTTTGAGCTAAATGTTGGGAGAAGCCCTCTGTTCTTCCTGTGCTCCTCTATTTATCCTCCATGTATGAAGACTTGCTAGCAGAAGTGGGAATGGGCGGTTTGATGTGTGTGCTGTTTTGCAAGTCTAGGTAGACCTAGCCGCTCATGCAGGCAGTTGCTGAGGGAGATGAAGTCTCTAGGTCAAATTCAGACAACAGTATAGGATGAGAAATCCAGAGCGGTGTGATGGATTTCTAGTGGGATGCAATCCCTGCTCTCAGTGGATCTCTGTTCGTGAGGAGATGTGTACTAAGCCAGTGAGAACTGTTTTCTTTTGCCAAGCACAAACAGCAAACCATTTCATGCTCCTGTAAGTCTTTGGGCCAACCACAGTGATGACTGCAGACTTGTGAACATCTGCAGATGTTATCTTTCCCCAGTTAAATTCCCTAATATTTGTTCAGCCAGATTCAGTGGAAAATATTCCAGGAAGCAGTTGCCTTAAGCTTCTCATCACAAGGCTGCTGTTCAAAGTGATTTTCAGACCCTGCTTCTATTTTAACAAGAGGTGCATCCTTATTGTTACATTATTCTACTTCACTTTAAATGTATTTCTTTGCCACATGATTCAAACTAAATTTAATTCTCTTTTATCTATTTATTTATTTTTTCATTCCCTTTCTAGTTCCATTTTTTTTCTGGTCCTTTGCAGTAAGTATGACAACATTTTTTCTGTTATCAAGAGCAAAATTAGGGTGCCCCATTTCCTGCATTTTACTTTACAAGCCCTCAATAATAGTAGCTAATACCCTATATTCACCATTTCACATGAGAAACCATGTGCAGTTATTCTGAGTCTGCTGGCTCTTAGTGGAACACTTTTTTGCTATCACATTTTTCTAAATAAGTGGTTTATCATTGGGTGGAAAACATTTGAAAGATGCATGAAGTACTGGAGAGACATCCCATTTGTTCCTCTTCTTTCCCTTTAGTCATTTTGGCTGGAAATTTGTAAGGAAATGCTCTAGATCCCTTAAAATCCACAGAGTTTTGTTTGTTTTGGATTTTTTTTCCCCTCTCTGGAAGAGGTAGAGCTGTACTTGCTGCAATAGTTTTTGTCATAGTAGCCAAGCAATATATCTGGTCGATGTTCTGAAACAGGTGTGTCTCATCGTAAGAGCGGGTAATTCAGCCTCTGTACCCAGTTTATTTTCTGAATTATCTGAGGTCTAACAGGCTGGTAGACTTACCCAACCTTTTGACAAGAGCTGATGATGTTGGTAAAACATCTGGTGTTTCTTTTGACCCACTGAGGCAAGTGGCACGTGTCATCATTTAAAAAGAAGCCGAAATCGCCTTCTGGAAGTGGATGGGATTTGAGGTGCAGTGTGGGAGAGGAGGCTGAGTAGGACTAAGGAAGAGTGCTAACAGCTGTTGCTGCTTCTACTGCAGGAAGCGGGCAAGGCATTCCTATCAAATTACATGTTTTTTTCATAATCATCCTGTTCATAATCAGCCAAACCTGAAGACTCTACACTGAATGCAGTTTCTTTTTGTTTTGAAGCATGGTGAATTGGGTAACTTACCCCTATGGAGGCAAAATCTAAGAATTCACAATGTTTAATCCAGTGGTGACTGTATACATGAAATTTTTAATGTGCTGTTGTTGTGAAGGTGGCACAAAAATATAGGAAATTATTTCATACTGAAATAATTAATGCACCAGAAAAAATTTTATGTATTTTATCGTTAACATTAAGCACTAAAATGCACCTATAAGATTGTTAGTGGTACCTAACACCGCTCAATTACTTTGAAATTGAATTCTTCAATGTACTTAGTATACATTTCCCTAGGATGCAGTAATGCCTTTCAGAGAGATAGGAAATGTCTAGATTTATAGCTATAATTGTTTAAATTTACCCTTATCTTTGAGAATCTCTGAAGACAGCATTTAGTTTCTAAATTTTTTTTTTTTAAATTAGTAAAATGAAGTTAGTTTTACAGCTGGAACTATTCTTGAGCAATACACTAATAGTAGGTTGTGTGTTACTCAGGTAATAACTTTTCTAGGTTTTATGCATACAGACAGATATTTTGTTTTATTTGTTTTCTATTGAATCCTATGAATGCAAAAGAGGAGTTAACACACTGTGCCATGTTTGGTAACCAAAGTCTCTCACTGAATGTTCCTTTTCATTGTTCTTTCCCACGTAAATGAACAGCAGGCTTCTCTCTGGAGAGTCAAAAGCACTAGGAAATAAACATCTCTACGTGGGATGTGAAGGATTCTTAAATTGCTCTTGCACTTTTTTGCCTGTATTTGTCTGTCTGTGAGAGACTGCAGCATTTGCAGGCAAAATATGGGGAAATTTCTTCTTGAAAATCAGAGCAAATGTCTTTTCACTCAAGTCTGATCCTGTGTGGGAGCTCCACTGTAGTCAGAACTTAAGTAGCTTGAAGTGAAGTAGTTCAAAGAAAATGTCCTATACTGACCCTAAAGGGTCATCTTCTATGCGCTTCTTGTCTCCTGAGCATTTTTTCTGGTCACACCTGAAGATGGAGTGATCTGAAGCACAGGCCAGGCAGGCTGTAGGAGCTGTGAGCTGTTAGTGTGGAGTGCTGCAACTCCAGTATCCTCCTGCCCAGCCAACCCTCCATGGCAAAGACTGCCCTTGACAGAAAACCCGTTGGACCGTAAAAGTACGGGGTTGCAGAGGTCAGCATTACACCATATTTCTGTCCTTTATTATTTGAAGGGACTGAACTGCTGTGTGATTTGTGATAATGTTAAACTTACTGCCAAAGGCATATTATTTTGTGACTTGATAGCCTGTTTTCCTATCAAGTTTATTTCTTTATTTCTCATTAGCTGAATATTTTTCACCCATGGGACTATCTGTTGAGTTAAATATAGCAGAGGAGCTTGATTAAGTATTTCCACCAAATTATCTACCTGCAGGTGGGAAGTGG